ACACACACACACACACACACACACACACACACACACACACACACACACACACAGCGAGGGACGCTTGAGAAAAGGCACCTTTTAATTCATGTTATTTATTTGTTTAATATTTTTTGTCAGAGCCATTGTTAAAAGAGCTACAGCTGGTTTATTCCTATTCAAATAATTTTCACGTATTTTTTTCTAGAACCCACCGTTAACAAAAAAATAAAAGTTTCCCCAACAATCTATCCATAATTATTGTTGTTTATATACTTATTTTAGCTTTGAGAGGGTGGAGGGAGGCATTAATAATTTATTAATTTCTTCATCCATCAACCCGTTGTCTCACGTCACGTCGTATTGAAGCAAGCAACAGTTTAAATTCAGGCTCTTATTTTGAAATGAAGACGGGTTCCTCTACTTGGTCCTTTACCCAGAATGCATCGCTTCAGTTCTCCAAGAAACAGTTTAAAATGGGTCATTTCATTAAATTCATTACATTAGTCAATTTTGCGGACCTATTTAGCTTCCGCTAAAATATTTGACATGAGTGCTTTAGAAAGTGCGGAACTAAAGAAAATAATTAGCGGTTTAGAATTTGCGGAACTAACGTTTGAATTAGCGCTGCCCACAATGACTAAATATTTAAAGTACATCTTATTGTTTGTTTCTTCAGTATATTTGCAGTAAACTATCTTTCAGATGTTTAATAAGATACAGTATTACTGAGCTGCATTAAACATGACTGTTGAAGGAATGAGCGTGGACAGAAAATGGATGAATGGAACACAGTGAAGAGAGCGTCTCTGATTTGTGGCTCTCCCTCCACTTTTTCCAGTCCAAGTCCAGTCTTGAGATGATGGAGAGTCAGTCATGTGATGCTGACCCTCCACCGCCCCCTAAACCTGAGCTGCGCTACCCTGGACTGACCCGAGGAAACACAGAAGGTAACGTTCCCAATGCTCTGCTGCATCGCTGTTCCACACTTGAACCAGACGTCCTGMTTCTGCTGGTCCTTGGTTTGGTGGTTTTTACTCATGCTGGTGCTTCCTTGGTGCAGAGTGCAGTCTGATGAACAAAGCTCCTCCCACCCCCACCATGTATAAGTACAGACCAACCTACAGCCCGGGCAAGAACCACACAACACTCACACATGCTTATGCCAACCAGGTATGTGGTCACACAGCCCTACAGTGTCTAACTTCTGCTTTCAACTTTACATAGAAAGAGAATGGAAAAATACATGCTCCATTTGTTCCTTTTTATTTATTATTTATTTATTTATTTATTTATTTATTGCCTCAGTTTAATTTATTTTTTGTTTTTTCCATTTTGATCTTCTGTCGGCCATCTTGGTTTGGTTTCTCAGTGGCTTACTGTTGATCAGTATCAGTAAGTGATTGCTCACAATTATTTTTCCCCTTCCTCCTTTTCCTGTTTGCTTTAGACATGGCTTAAATACTAACTGCAAACCCAGTTCCTGTCTGGATGTGTTGGTGTTGGGAGCATTTGTCTGATTATTAAGTGCATCCTGACTCAGCAGTGGGCAGTATGTAAATACTTTTAATGGTTTTCACTCAGTATTTATCCATGTCTGGTTCAGAAACACCCCCACCATCCACAGGGACATTTCATTTTCTATCACCACAACAATCCTTTTTTTTTTTTAAATAAACTATAGTACCATATTTATTCACGTATAATACRAGTTATTTAACACCAAAAATCATTCAGTAACAACAGCTTTTTGACAAGTTTAAAATTTCTTTAATATACATTCAGAATGTTTAAAAACAAACTACAAAAAATAATTTAAAGTGCAATTTAAAATATAGTTGTATCTGCAACTGTATTTGATAATGTCTTGAACTTTTAAAATATTTCATGGTAAAAACAGAAGCTGCTCTTCATATTAGTGACAAACTTTGGTGTTTTTTGATGAGTTACTTTCATTTTTGCCTCTATTCTCCATTCTCAGCAGGTTTCTAAGGTTCTTCTTCTACATATTAAAAAAGTTGTTAAACATGTGAGTGGTGCACTACTGCTACTAGTGGTGAGAAAGTGTATTGCACCTTATTTAAAATCAATGTGGTCCCACGGCCCTCTGCAGCCCAAAGTTAAAAACTGTTATTTTGAGGCCCTCAAGGTGGCGCTTGCGGCCCACAATTGGGCCACGGCCCGTAGGTTAAGAATCTCTGCTCTAGAGTGTATCATACATGAATAAATACGGTACATTTTTTAGATTGTTTCCAGAGTCTGTCAGAAGTGTTTGTTGCTCTGTAGCTTGAAGTCTTTGAAGCCCTCTGTTATCCACATCTGGACTACTTTTGTCTTACTGATGTTCTACTAGAAACCTCAGATCCCTTCTCTGTTTTACACACATCAGTCCACAACAAAAGTCCTCTCAGGACACACCAGTCAACTCCAGTTTGGTCCAAAACTAATCCAGTTAGTCAATTTAATTCAAGAATACATTCAGACACATAAATATCTTGCATTACCTGAACCAGATCCAGAACCAGTCTCAGGATGGGTAGCCATCTTCTATAGACAAAATGACTGGCCCCAACGATACCCAACACAAAGAGGGAAAAAAAGACTAAAACAAGGGGACGTCGAGCCCCGCCTGCATTCACTACATACACATGACACGACACCAAAGAACCACAACAACCAAACCAATAAGTCAGGTGATGGGGCACATGACCCTCTATGAACAACAGAGCTAATCAAGCCTATTGTTAGGTGATGGCCCTCTTTTTCATAYGACTAACCTGTTTCTCCATGTGGAGGCGGAGCTTATAAGGCTGAGTTCACCTGAAACTCTCAGACTGAAGAAGTCTCTTGGAGGAGAGACGAAACGTTTCACTAAAGAAGAACCATCCAGAGGATCTACTGATTTTTTCTTTTTGATTTAGTGTAGATTGTTGTTCGGCTCATATTTAAATTACAAATCTAGCAGAGATCAGTGTCTGATGATGACTCAGAGATAGGATGGTGTTGTTATGAACATGTTGCAGACGCCATGCTTGTTCAGTTTATTAACATTGAAAGTAAACAGCATCAGCTCTGTGCTGACCTGTAGAAAATGATTCAATAACACGACACTGCTGCACAGGTGATGCTCTAACTGCTCTTTTATGTTCCACCTCTCATTTCTCTTTCTCTCCCTGTCTCTGTTTTTCTGCCCCACCCCAGTTAGGTAAAGGGGAGAGTGTTGGCAGTGCCAGGGACTCCTCGTCCTCCACCTCCTCCCTGTTTCAGGCAGGACAGCAGCCTGGTTTCCGCTCACAGCCCAGCCTGGACCAGAGGGAACCTCCATCAGACAGAGTGGGAGAGGAAGGAGGCAGGGACAGGAGAGAGGGTGGAAGAGAGACGGGAGCAGGGGGTATCCCTGGATACTCCCTGGGTGGACACTCCTACCCCTCCTTCTCAGACCCTACCGTTCTTTCAGGAGTCGCATCACAATCGTCCAGCTCCACACATACGTCCACAGGTGGTGCACCTGTCTCTGAGGCAACCACCACATCTGCCAGCTTCAAAAGTTCAGCCAACCAGACACCCCCACCGTAYCACCCCCCTCGCAACGGGAGCCTGTCCTACGACAGCTTACTGGCAGGTGGTGAGGACGTGGACAGGAAGGGGGTAACGGGTGTTGGAGCCCCGGAGCCTCCTGCTGGGACTCACTGCACCCCAGCAGCAGGCAGCTACACCTCCCCCTTTGTGTCCCAGCAAAGAGAGGCGTACCCACAGTCACCCCAGCACCACCAGCACCACCAGTTCCTCCATCGTTCCTCCTCCACATTTTCCTCCCCGCAGCCTCCTCAAGAGAGAGAGCACCTGCTGGGGGATCCCCATCCTGCTGCCCCGCCTCCCCCACACCACCACCATTACCACCACCACCATCATCACCACCACCACTCCCATCACCACCATCGCCAGTCCTCCTCCCACCCTCCCCACTACGCCTACCCCTACAGCACCCGCTCCACAGAAACCCCCCCRGGTTCCTCCTCCACACCCCGCGCCCCGCACCCCGCGCCTCTCGGAAAGTCGCTTTCTTACTCGAGCGCCGCCGCCGCTGAGATGCAGTACCGACTGGTCCGCAAGGCCTCGGCCGCAGCTGGAGCCAACGCAGCAGGAGCAGGGGGGGGAGGAGGGGGAGGAGAGGTGGTGAGGGGAGGAGCAATTCAAGCGCCGAAGTGAGTATGGGTTTTTAGTTTTGTCTCAGGACGACTGGTTTGTTGCTAACCCAGGGAGACCACCTGACTGCTCCTCCTCCTCTCCTGCCTTTCTTTCCTCCTCCTCCCCGACTTCCTGTGAGTTCCTCCTCCTTTTCCTTCTGCTAAACTTCTGTTTGTGTCAAAGTCCTCTCTGTTGTGTCACCACTACTTCACCGTGAGCTATTTTTGTGCTTTTTTCATCCATTGTTTCTGTCCCAGCATCAAAGTGTTGAGGTCAGCACAAAGTTCTTCAAGCACTTTCAAGGGGAATTGTCGAGACTTTCCAGCACCTTACAGCAGTGCTGATCAGGCCCAGTGCTAGTCGTTTAGGTCCCTCCCTTTCCCAGAAATTAAAAATAATTCAATATTTGCCAGTTGGCTTCTTTATTTCACAAATACAGTGGTACCTTGACTTAAGAGTGTCTTAACTAACGAGTTTTTTGAGATACAAGCTGTCTTTCAGATATATTTTATCTTTGAGTTGAGAGATAAAATTTGGGTTACGAGCGAACTTCACACGCCTCACGGCTAGATGGCGTCACGAACACAGGAGTGAACAYCGCAACAGGTGTTCACCGTCTCAGTTAGCTTTAAGCAGTTAGCTCGTGGTTAAAGCATTTGTGTTCCACTCTCAGTTATTTTTATAAAACTTCATGAACCAGTTTTTGCCAACTATGGGACCAAAAAAGGTGAGAGCGAAGGATGGTGCTGAGAAAAAGAAGTGAATGATGTGCATTGAACTAAAGAAAGAAATTATTGAAAAACACCAGAAAGGTGTGCGTGAGCGCAGCACTTCCACAGTCTGCACCTTATTGAAGCTGTACCTTTTACAGTGTACTTACTTAATAAAACTACTATAGTTCGTTGTAGAAAATATATTCTGTTTTTTATTTTTATTTAATATTTGTTATTCATAATGATTTTACTGATATAAAAACATGTAACAAAAATAGTGTTTTTTGGGGGTCCGGAACAGATTAAGGGTATTTCAGTTTATTTCCATGGGGAACACTGATTTGACATACAAGTAATTTGAGTTAAGAGCTCCATCTCAGAACAAATTAAACTTGTAACTCAAGGCACCACTGTACCAGGATATGAGGACACAAGAGTACTGTGAGAGGAGAAATTAAATCCTTGAGAAAACACTAAAGCTATTTTTTGCATTAACAAAGGCATCAAATATTAGATAAAAATAAATAAATATCACCACCATTATTTAAAAACCATCTGCTCAATGACTGATATTAAAAAAAAGAAAGCAGTTAGTGGATTTGGAGGACTTGAGGAGACATTTATGACCCATCACATTGAAATGAGGATTAAGTCAAAACGACCTCATCATATTTTCAGAATCCTGGCTTTAAAAGTTACATTTTGATACTTAGACAATCCTGATATCTTTAGTAGATCCAGAGATCTTATTTAATTTGTCTTGTTGGTTAAAATAATACTTAAATATTTTGTCT